ACTGAATATATATATATATATATATATATATATATATATATATATATATATATATATATATATATATATATCAGGTTGCTAAAAAAATTCATAATTTCAAAGTTCAATAACTACAACAGTTTTGAAAATATTGCAATGAGACTTGGGGCATTTTAGGAAAATGATGTTTTGATATGCTTAAAATTTCATGACTTTAACTTTCTTAGTTTTCACACCAAAAAAAAAATTTCAAGTTAAAAACTGCAATGCTGGTCTACGTGACGTCTGATAGTGACAGTGTGTGACAGTTTTGACACCTGTCAGTGTGTTTTTGATTTGATAATAACTTAAATACTTGAAATTTTCAGAGTTGATCAATAATTATGTATTCCTATTGTTGGTGGCTTTCAACTTTTTCGTTTAGATTTCATTCACTGATTTATTAATTCCATATTTACTCATACAAAACACTATCAAAATGTATTTTCTAGATCAGTCATAATTATAAACCATCAATTGTTTACTTATGAAGTTAATATACATACATCAAGCATGACTTAAAGAAATCATTTTTTTTCCTTTATTATTTTTTTACTAAACTTTTATACCAAAAATATGTTGATGACGTTTTGTTTTAAATCTATTAAACTTGAACACATTAAATAATAGATAAGTTCTGATCTATAAAAATAAAATGACCTTGGATTTCAGATTGATTGCTTTGCAAGATAATATGTCTAAATCACAAAAGTTAATGGAAGACTTACAGATGACTAAAGGTATAACATTGTTATATATATATATATATAGAGAGAGAGAGAGAGAGAGAGTTCTGAAGTTATTTTGAGTTGTTTGAAGTGCACAGATAAAATGCTTACCAACTAACAAATATATTAAGTGCAATTTTGTTTGTGGATGTGCATGAACAGACCCAAGTATTGTCTTTCCTCTGTTCAGTACTAACATTGGGACTTTTATGAAGGAACACATTCTTGAGATTATCTTCACACATTATTTCAGATATGCTGATTTTAGAAAGAACTGATAATACAGATAAAATCAAAGAACTCGAAAGTGATAAGGTACTGGTATGATGCATAAATTAATATGAAGGAGTGATACATTTTGTTTTAAGCAGGCCTCAGCAAAATAATGATTAAAAAAAATTAATGTGGCTAAATAATGGAAGAAAGATGTAAAAATTCTGCTTAAGTAAATAATGTTCACCAATTTCAGAAAATTTTAGAAGATTCTGTGACAGAAATGACTAGAAAAGTTAAACGTCTTACACAGGAAAGGGATCTGGTTCAGGCTGAACTGAAAGTACAAGAAGAGCAGAACTCCAGTTTATTGGTAAAATGCATTTTTTTAGCATCCTGGCTATAAATGGATTAAAAATATATATATTATTATCAAGAATGTTGTGCAGATAGTGAGATACTGTCTCATCAACTGCAAGAACAGTCCCCATGGAGATAGTTATTCACATAGCAAAAAATAAGAATTGAATTTGGATTTTTTCCATGCATATACAGAAATTTGGTAAACATAATGATTGAATCTAATGAAAATTGGTAAAAATCATAAAAATTGGTAAAAATTTTTTACTTGTACAGAAATTATAAACATCATGATTGAATGTAATGAAAATTGGTAAAAACCATAAAAATTGGTAAAAATCATCTTTTTATCCCAGTCATTTTTTTCTACTTTATAGGGAAATGTGAAGCTGCTCAATGGCTCCATTGAAAAGCTGGAAAAAGAGAGAGATGATGTTAGCAGTGAAGTTGTAAGATTATTAAATCAGCTATCACTGAAGGAGGTGGGTTGTGCAGAAAAATATGAAAATTCATCTTAACAAAAATTGTTGCTCAAACACTTCATGATAAAACTGCCAATGTTAATTTGAAATGCCTAGTCATTTAATCACATGATATGGAAAATAAAATAGATAGCCAAACATTAGCCTAAAAGGGGGAACATTCCTGATTTTTTTTTCCTTTTTGAAAGAACTGTTAACTTGACGATCTTGACCCAGCAACCTCCACACATTATTTACAAATCATTCTTTAGCAAAACAGATCTTTTATACATAGAGAAATTTCGATTGTCTGTTATGTTCTTTACTCCATTCTCAAATTAATCACACTTAATTTCATACTGGGATATCTTAATCATACTAATTGCAGACTGGCGGTACACATGGATTTAGTCCTGACCCATCTTGCCTGCCTCATACGCCCGATCTGCCGGCTCCACCGCCATAACACAGTAACCTCTTCTCCTCTTAGACTACAAGGGACTGTGTCCCCATCTCTTGTATTGTGGTCACACATAATCACGTAATACTCCACGTAAATTTTGAGTTCTGTGGGTGCACTGTCTAGGTATGGCATTCATCACAATGCACCCTTGTCCAAATTTTAGAAAACTAAATGCTAAATATCTTCCAAACAGAAAGAATTACGGGAAAAGTTACTATATAGAAGTCTGAACTAAAGTCATATGTGGAGATGCCAAATATGCCCTTGGATTTGACCCCTGACCTTTGTTTCAAGGGCTAACGGGCTGAAATTTTCTAAAATTGGGAATTTTCTGCAAAAATATTTTTTTTCAGTAACTATACAGACGTAAGTCCTCATATTATAGTGAGACAGAGTGGTTACAATTGGGGACACTTTTCATCTTGGGGAGTTAGGGTTCAGTCAGTGCATTTCCCTGGAAGAAAAAGCCATTAGATGCCGAAACTAAAATTCTCTCCAAATCTGGAACCGTTAATGATAGAGACCTAACTCTTGTTTGTTGCATTTTATAATACTTTTGTAATAATTTTGTCAAGTGCAACACTGAAAGTGGTGTCCATTTTTCTTGTTTTCCATATGGTTTAGGAGCTGCGCAATATAAAGAAATACATCACAATATTTAGTGGTGAAAATAAATGATAGAAGGGATTTTATTATTTTTCTTCCATGTTGTGCATTTTATAAAAATGTAAAACCAGTGGTCACAAATTTGTAAGGAAACAACAGTTATGCTTAATCCTATATAAATACATGTAGTCTCTATTTTGGAGTTTCAAGCGCGAATTGCAGTTCCATAGATGGAATATGAAAACCTCTTTGAGCAGTTGACTGTGACACATTGAACTGTATTGAAAGCTACTATTTAACTGGAGTTTCATCATGCACAAAAAAATCTCTTTTGACCAATATTTTGAAGTATTACTTATTTGAGAATCTTCTCAAATGTCCCTTAAAGTTTATAAATCAGGCAGCCCAGTGTGGTATGAGACTTTTTATCTTCATTAATTCTCATAGCAGCAAAGTTCTCATGAGTATAAATACTTTTTAAAAGTAGTCAACTATGCAACCCGTGCCTTATTGTCATTTTCAATATGTTCAATACATTCAGATGTTAAATCACTTTGGGTCACTGTATCAGAAGTTGACCCTCTTTTCACATGTTTGAGTTCATTTTTCACCAGTTGCAGGTTCTGCTTCCTCAGGTATGGTCACTTTCCTCAGTTTCTTGTGGAGTGTCTGAGATGTAAAGAAAACGAGGAGTTTGAGAATAAAAAGTGATCAGATGGCATCAGATACATTTCTTTTATCACCTTGTTGACTGGCACATTGGTATCTTGCATTTGTTGACCCCAATGTTGCATTTGCGTGTGGCCTAAAGCAAGTGTTGGAATCCAGGATTGATTAGTTCTGTAAAGAAAATAATGACATGCACTCTTCTCTATAAAAATAATAAAAAACACTATGTAGTAACTGACAAACCCTCTCAATGTACTTAAATACATAATAACAGACATCACTGATTGAATATACATGTAGTATGAAAGACATAAATTGAAGGTAAGCAATCTTGGATGTTTTCCCCTTCACTTTTATATAAAACTCACTTAGCACACTCTTGAGGTCTCTTCTATCCCATTTTATTCACAGGAAGAACTGATAAAGGTGAAATGTGAATTAAAAGATAGCATGGCACGAGAAGGAAATTCTTCAAAACTGATACAGTCACTGGAAAATCAGCTTGAATCCTCCAGGTAAGGGATATAACTATAAATATCTTAATTGGTTGTTGTTTGCTGTAATTAAATAAAATTTTGTGGAACAAATGACTTCTGGGTATTAATTCTTACATGTTGCAGTTTTACTACATAGCTTTGATCTTGATGCTGCAGCTTTCTCTGAAGTCATAGTCCAAAATATTAGAATGTAGTCCTTTTGATGACTGCATCATCAAAATAATAAAAAAAAAAATTTGGATACTCGAGCTGAATAAACTAAACATGACATGAAAGATCCATTGTGAACAGAAATTTTTCTGGAAGATCAATGACAAGTACCATCCAATATTAACATAATGCCTCTGAAGTCCTAGGTAAACAGGCCTGTTATGTGGCTGACAGCTACGTACACTCTTTTCTTTGATAGCTCTGAAAACAGTGAACAAGCAGGTCATATAAGTGTTTTGAAAAGGGAAAAGCAGTCACTAGAAAAAGAATTGACAAGTTGTAAAAAGGAAATCGCCAATCTGAAGAAGGATTTGGAGGTATGTTAGATCATCAATAAAAACATAAGTATAAATAAGGCCATATTCTCAACAAAAGACTAAGTAGTCCACAGATCAAATATGGCTGACCCACTTGAATGCTTGGTGTGAAATCCCTTGGGGAATCTATTCAGTGTCTATTAGGGGATTAGACGACAAGCTTTTAAATATAGCACACCATATTTGATCCAAGGACTTCTTTGTCCCCTGTTGTGAATGTGGCCTAAGATACATTACCATGCATTAAGTTATGACTGCATTGCATTATGCTGTCTTGCCTTTGCAATTTTGTCAAATGAAGTCTTTTTCTATAGAATGTACAATCTTAAATGGGTACACTTGACAGGTAATCAAATATTCAAGACAATATGAATTCTCTGTTTTAGAAGAATGCAAGGAAGGCAACAGGAATTGAGAATGATCTGCTTAAAACCATTGAAGAAAACAAAGAAATATGGTAGTGTATGAATGGACATAATTCAAGATATCTATTCCAATGTTTGTGAAATCTTTGTGTCGGGAATGACTTTTTAAACCAAACCAGTGCAACAGTGACTTGGAAAACATAGCATTAAATCCAAGCCAAGGCAAGGGGTGATCAATACTTTGTGGAAAGGAAAACTGGATTTGGCAGGGAATTTCTCAGTAATGAGAATACGATTCATTGTTGATTGTGGCATATTAGATCAAATAACAAGACAAAATTGGATAAGTAAAAGAAAAATAACTGAAAAGTCAACAAATGTATCAGGTAAATTTTTAAGCAGGAATATTATACTTGAAAATGCTAATTAAGTTTGCTATTATTGTTTTGGTAGGAGCATGAATGAAACTCTTAAAAAGGCAGTAGAAGAGAAGAATGAAGAAATAATGAAGATTAAGGATGAGACAGCAAAAATGGTATATGGTAGACGGCCATTCCACTTTCCTTAGCTTAATTGCTTTTGTTCTGCTTAATTGTATTTCTAAAATCTATTATAAGATTAATGAATGTACAGTATGCATTCTTGTACTGATTTGACCTGTTCTACATTGTGTTTAAATTTGCCAAAATTCTTTGGATATTGATATTGTTTTAAAATACATCATACAGAGTGATGAGTTCGAGTCAGCACTAGACAACAGATCAAAAGAATCTTCAGATTTGGAATCAAGGCTCAAGTCTTCTCGAGATGATCTTGTCAAGAAAAACAAACATATAAAAGAACTAGAGAAAGAGGTATATGTATAATCTTTGTCAGTATATAACTATTTATTTATTTTTTACTTACTGGTAGAGTACAGATTTATTTTATAAAGTACCATATGTATTGACTGAAATTGTCTATGTCGTTTAAAATGCTAAACCCACAATCAAGAAGTAAACAGTTCCTATATATTCCAATCTGTATATTGTACATTTTGTGATCTTTGTCAGTACACCTCTAATTTATCACTTAATGTCCTTCTTAGATAGTTGGATTACTTAAACCTTATGCTTAATAAAAACTTCCCTTTCTCCCTGTCATAAAAAAAAGTGTAAATTTATAACTTTAGATAAAAAATCTGAAATCTAAGCTGACCACACAAACCAAACTCAATAGCACATTTGAAGGAGAAATTGCAAAAAAGAATGAAGCAATTAAAACCACTGAAGAAGAAAAAGTTTTGTTAAAAGCAGACTTGGAAAATGTTCAAAAAGAGATGCTGTGGATGAAAGAAGGATTTGAAAATATGAAGCAAGAAGTAAGTCTTTGTTAATTTTTTTATGAAAAACTTCCTTGTGATATTTTAATTTTTTTTCAATATATTCAGTATGAAAGTAAAGCTACCACACTAGACTATACCCTCTAGCAGGGCTTCAGAGTGATTTTTCAGTAGATATTCGCAGATGTGTCTCTCATTAATTTATGGCACATTTCTCCACTATGACCCTGTTACGAAATCTCAAGTAATTACAAGGCTGGTAATCATTTACTTTTAACTACTCAGGCACTGACACTTAACAAGTCCTTGCCAAATTCCTCTGATTGCAGTCAAGGTAGTTGGTTGCTCTGACCATAATTATGGACTGTACTCAATCTAGGCTGTCATCTTGATTATTCAATGCAACAAAAAACACAGAAAAACAAATTTAAAATACCACAGTTGGCTATCCTAATTCAAAAAGGAAAAAAAAATCAACATTGGGTTTAAGTTTTCTATAAAACCCCATATATACATGTATAAGGCAAAATTTTCTTAAAACTCTGTCCACACACAATGAAAATAAAAATTAAAAAGAAAGAGCCATTAGATTACCCATGAACCAACTACACATACCTATATAGTCCATGCTACATTCCCCTGCTGTTTCTTTCTAACTCTGAGCCTTTTATCTTCATTAAAAAAAAAACACTTTGTTTCTTTCATGCGCGCAAGCCCAGTGGAGTCAACCAGCATTTGTTCAGAGAAAATTTAATTCAAAATGCTCGAATGCTGCAATTTTTGGCAAGTGTTATAATTTCTGTGCCATTTCTACACTTTCCAGTCGAAAATGATAATGTACGTTCTAGTATGTTATTCACTTTCAGTTTGTAAATTTCGTTCTCTTTCAAATAACCAGACCAGTCTGCAATCACGTGCACACAGGCATTTTGAATCTACCAGTTTTTTTTCTCTCATCATATTATGTTATAAATGTGACAAAATACAAGCATGTGACTGTTTGATTATTTTTTCCAGTACAGGATTGACAAGTGGGAAGTCTAGAAGTAATGTGAAAATAATAACATCTGCTTAAAGTTCATTGAGCATGAAGAAATCGTGATTGATGTCTGACAACTTAGGAGCATTCAACAAACTAAAAGCTGGGGTCTTCATGCAGAAATGAGTTTTATATTTATTAACCAATTAAGGTTACAACTGAGCATGTTCTTAACCACATGACATGTTGTGAAGCAAATGTTTAGCATGTCAGAGCTAAGCTGAGCAACTGCAGATTGCGGATTCAATGTCCCCTGCCTGTTCAGATTTAATTGCTTCCAGACTTCCATAAGAGACAGGGTGTCATTGGAGAAAAGTGCACAAAATTAATTAAAAGTGGATGTTTTGTAATCTTTCTCTTTATATCCTTGATTTTAAGTGTGAGGAGCTAAAGAAGACAACAAATGATGCCATTAAAGATAAAAAAGTTGCTCAAATGGATTTTGATAGGCAGCTTAAAGAAATGATGGGAACCTTAGAAAAATACCAAAAAGATAATGAAAAAATCATTACCAAAAAGGACAAAGAAATAGGACAGCTCAAGCAGAAGATGCAGAAACAGCAAGATACTAAAAAACAGGTATGTTAACTTAAATTGAAAGTACTTCTACCTGGCTTAGCTTTAGAACACAATGACTAGGGCTGCGTTCACATGAAAAATCTATATGCACTATCTTGTGATCACGGTCTGTGCCCTGAATACCCCGAGACGTATTTGCTGGCAGCGCCGAGAATTAATTACAGCTTTGGTAGTAACTGGCTCGCGCTGCCCATAATTACGCCGTGGGGTATTCAGGGCACAGACTGTGATCACAAGATATCGCAAATAGATTTTTAGAAAATAGATTTTTCATGTGAACGCAGCCTAGAAGGCATAAATCAAGTGGGTAAAGTGTCTTCACTTAAAATCTGAGCCCATCTAGTTATAATGTTTATTGTGTTTAATAATCTTTTTATTCTTAATGTAGGTACTTTGTATAATACAATCTCTGAGTTCTCCTTCAGTTTTAGAATTTTTTTATGGTATAAAGAATTTCTTTAAGTCAAAGTTTTTATGTTTCAAGAATTATTTCCCATCTTATGAAAAGAATCCAAAAAGTTTTAATAATTCCTTTTAATTATATATATATATATATATATATATATATATATATATTTGAAGGAACAGTTGGACTTAAAAGAAATAAACAAAGCCCTTGAAGATACCAGGAAGCAACTGGATGCTGTTGAAGAGGAAAAGGTAAACTTTGCTAATGGAAAGTAGGAAGACTTGTGTTAGAATCCTCTCACTAGCTGTGATTAATATTTCACATAATCAAGATTTTCTGTGGGTGGAGTGTGTATTATATTGATTAAATGTTGTGACTGTATACAGGCATTTCATATTATTTTTATAGCAAAAATTCATGAAGGCAGCTGAAGAACAGACAATAGAAATTAAGTGCTTAGCAGATAATGTCAGAGAAAAGGTAAGCATAATTTTTACAGTACCCATATGAAAGGTATACTGAGATCAAACAACAAGTTAAAACTATCAGTTATGTGCCCCAAAGTCTGACCAATTTTTTTGAAAGTCATTACTTTTTCATTTATTTTTTTCAGTTTTAAGGAAGGGATGTAGGTTGGAGATTTTATCTTAAAATAAAGGCTTAGATTTTTTATTTCCTGTAAAATTCATTTAATGTATCTTCAAAACATCTAATTATGCTTGAAACTCAACTACAAGTTCATTGTGTGACGTAATATTGGGATTTTTGGGGACAAAAACATCATTTTCAGTTGCTGATTTTCTCAGGCACCTGGACAGCTATAAACATGCTTTTTAAAGCATGTTGTCTTACAAAATTTAACAAAATTTAACTTTCAGTAACTATAAACAGTATGTGTTACATAAAAAACACTGTATACAAATGGGATATATTACTAATATGACTGATATGGTAATTTAAGATCTAAACCATAAACATTGGAAGATTTCCACATTAAAAAAGAGAAAAAAAAATCTGACCATAGAAATTATTTAACAACAAACACCATATTATTGCTGCTATGTTTACAGTAAAGGTTTGGAAGCAAAGCAGCTGACATGATTTTTCACAGATGCCCGACCTTACAGGAGAAAGTAACCGAAGATACAAAGGTTTGACAACTGTGGAGCTTACCGTACTGCCATCTTCCAGGCATGTCAACAAAAGACAAAAATATATCAGATCATGAGCAGTTGACACTGTTTTAAGCAGCTGTGTTACTTACTTCCATCTTTCATGTAATCAGTGCAGAAAGGGGGGCATGATTGCACAACAAAATTATAAACTACAGAGCAAATTTCAATTTGTATTCAAGTTTTCACAAATATACTGGTACATGATTATTCGACAACATACTGTACCTCTGCTATATGAACTGTTTTCAAACTTCAGGCGCATTTTTCCCAGGCGAACTCATTTGCAGTGCTCTGACATTTACTGTCAGTTCCTACACAAGATTGCAAGTTTTTTTTTCTTTTGTCACCTCTATATTTGGTCATATTGTCCATGTTTATTGCTTATCATTTCAACACAGCAGTCCCAAATGAGGAGTAGATCTATTTGAATGATGTCACTAGAAACTAACCATTCAGAATTTTCTCATAAAAGTTCCCCATCTCCCACGTTTTTTTAAATATTTTTATCCTTCGTCTTTAGTATAAACATTGTAAAAAAATCAGTGAACAATTTGTGTTTTTGATCTCAGTTTCACATTAAAATTTAGTTAAGATGTTTGCATTACCCATTAATGTAGTTCATATGAAATATGAAAAATTGTTATTTAGGGGTTCTTTTTACTCTTCCAATCATTGGTTTACAGAAAACAGAAATACAAACTTTGCAGACCACTATCAAAGATTTACAACAAGAGTTGGAGAAACTGAAAGAGCCAAGTCTTATTGAAGTTATGGATGCATCTATACCTGTGGTGCCCCAAACACCAAAAGTTCCAAAAATTGTGGATAGTGTTACTAACATGGCAAAAACTCCAAAGCCCACCGTAACACCTCGAAAGGTACATTTGAATTTAGTATAGTAGTTAAAGGATTTGTGCCTCATTAAAATTCATTTCTGGAATTTTGTAGATCCAACACTCAATCTGTACACTAGAGATACGTTTGAATCAATCACCACCCTGTAAGTAGTATAAATACAATCTTTTAGTTGAAAAAAAAAGCATTTTAGATAACCCCACCTCAATATGCAGTAATGAAGTAACAGATCTAGGTCACGTGGTACTGTGACAACATACAAGCTGAGCTACATACTGAATACACTGAAGTGAGGGAAGGTTACGTTAAATGGAATTGGGCAGTTTCCGTTATGCCCCAGTGTGTTGATGTGGGATGCACCAAAAAAGCAGCAAAGGATCTGGCATTCCTTGATAATCTTCTTTCTTTGTCTGTGATGATCTTCTGTGACTTTCTTACTAACTTTGGTGACAATAGATGTATTGCTCGAGACTATGGTTGCCCCAAGTGGTTAAGATCATATCAAAAGCTGACAGTCTTTTAAATTAACTATCATCAGTTGACAAGCTTACTAATTGCTGATGCATTTTAAAACCTGGTAGTTGACCAAGAGCTCGTTAACAGTAATACTTGTTCATTACACACTGTGGCACTCCCCAAGCCAGGTAATAATTACTAAAAATTCTGGCAATAATAGGTAACTCAACCTGTCGGATTCTTGATGGACTTTAATACTTTTTCAATATATCTCTTTTATTTCATGGAGTAATGTTATTGATATTTTTAAATGATGTTTAATATTGATATTTAGATAAATGAGCTCAAACATGGTAGTGAACATTCATGAAAGTGATTGCTCTCAGTCAGGGTATCTTGAAGCATGCCTACGGTATGCCCGGGCATTACTTCTGTTGAAGAAAACATGGTTGAAGAAAAACTCGAAAAAGAGTGGTAATATTAAAGTAAAATAAAAGAATGGGAACAGGTGTAATAAAATGATTCGTAATCCTAATTTGTTATACCAAATAAAGTGTATTTCACAGAAATATAAGGAATTTATTGTCAAATTTAGACTTCCATCACATAATCTCTCTGTAGAAACTGGAAGGTATACAGACACAAATAATAAATTATATATAAGAACCTGTAAACTAATGGCATTGCGGATAAATTTTATTTTATTCTTAAATATCCTTGCTACAACGATTAGGCAGAAATACATCAAAAATTATACAAAGCCAAGTGTTTTCAAGCTAATTAAATTGTTAGCACTTAACAATGTTTCATAATTAACCAACTTAGGAAAGTACTTTAAAATGTGCATCGGAGCTAAGATTAACGTCAGTCTGATGAGTTATTATTATTAGTAGTAGTACATGTAGTAGTTGTATTGTTGTTGTTATGACTTTATATTTTTACTGCATTTTATTCTGATCAGCTGTAGGGTTTAATAAATTGAATAAAATTGAATTTCACAAATAACATGGACCTCGTATCGAATGATCAAAATATCTTCAAGTCATTCGAATGCAGTATTTTAAACTAGTTGGGATAACTGTAATTAAGCTAGTTAAATAATGGAATAGACAGGCACCTGGCTACACAAGGATATAAACCCCTCCGGTGAGAGAGGTGAATGGGTATGAATTGTTGTCAGTAGTTTGAAAAGTCATCTTACAGGTAGATAATCGTAGGTCAGTTTGACAGCTTACTTAACAAGCTGACTCTCTCCTCTGGTGGCTTGTATGTCGTCACAGGACCACGTGATCACTTAGCGTATTAACTCCCAGACCTAGCTAAAAGGGAGGTTCTAATTTGTGTATTTTGATAAAAATATCATTAGTTGGGCATGTTTTCCTAAGAATATGCTCCGTTTAAGCTATTCTGATGTTCTGATGCTTATCCATTAACATTTATTTATTATATCATATACTCCATATAAAGACTTATTCCATTTAGTAGATGGCTGTTCACAATGATGCAGTTTTTTTTTTCTTCATCTGCATTTTTTTCATTAATACATTACATGTATGTACATTTCCTCATCTGATGTAAGCAGATTCACACCATGTGCTGCTGATTTTCCAGTTATTATATTATTATTATTATTTATTTTGTTAAAGGGCATTCAGATTGTCCCAGCAACACTCACTCCTAAGAAAAGCTCTGTAAAACCAGGAAGTGGTGGATCTAAAAGAAAAGTTATTTTTGCTTCAGAGGAGGATGATAGAGGATCATCTTCAGATTCCTCAACCTCAGAACTTATGGAATTAGAGGTGATATACAAGTATACGTATTTTGGATGTGAGGCATTTTANCAGACCCTGAAAAGCCTTAAAGAAACTGAATAAAGTGGGAATTTTATAAGTGCAGAAGCCTGGCTTCAGCATTTCCAACATCTCTGTGGGATACCCCCCACAGGTGACCATGAAATAGACAAGGAAATCGCACAGCAGGAAGCACTACCTGGAGTGCAAATCCTCGATAACCCCATCACAATAAGTGAAGTGAAAAATGCAATAAAGAAACTTAAGAATGGAAAAGCCCCAGGTGAAGATGTGATCTCCAATGAAATGTTGAAAACAGGTAAAGTGTACCTAACAGGTATCATCACCAAGCTCTTCAACTTAGTTTTGGAAAGTTCTGAAATTCCCGAAACATGGGACTTGGGAATAATAATCCCAATATACAAGTCCGGGGAATGCAACAACCCCTCTAACTACAGAGGAATATGTATAACCAGTTGTATGGGAAAACTATTTAATGCCTTATTAGCTACAAGATTAAGCAAACATATTGAAACTGAAGACGAATTGATCCAAGAACAAGCTGGCTTTCGACCGGGGTACAGAACCACAGATCACATTTACACTCTCAAGTCACTAATCAACAGAAGCATAAGTAAGAACAAAAGTGCGTATGCATGTTTTATTGTTTTCGTGTGTATGCAAGTTTTATTGATTTCAAAAAGGCCTTCGACACAGTGTGGCATAAAGGGCTCTTCCTCAAACTACTCAAGCTGGGCATTGGGGGGAAATTCTATAAACTAATTAAGTGCATGTATAATAACACCAGACTAGGTGTATCTATATGTGAACAGTATACAACCCCATTCAAGTCAAGAATAGGCATCCGACAAGGGGACAATTTGAGTCCAATACTCTTTAACATATTTATCGATGACCTAAAAAATGATCTCAGTGAATGCTATAACCCAGGAAATGTTGATGGACTGAGTCATATCCTCTATGCTGATGATCTTATCCTCCTATCAACATCAAAAGACGGTCTACAGCACTTGCTGCATAAACTCGAAAGGTACTGCTTAAAATGGAAATTACATGTAAATGAAAACAAATCAAATGTTGTTGTCTTCAACAAATCTGGTAAAGTGGATAAAAATACAAAGTTCTTTATAAATGCCAACCCGATCGAGACTGTGAAAGAATACACTTACCTTGGTATCACCTTTGCTAACACTGGGTCAATGAAAAAAACAATAGTATATATTAAAAACTATATTTAAAACTGTTTGACAAAATGGTAAGTCCAATACTCCTCTATGGCTGCGAAGTTTGGGCCCAAGAAATATTCAAAGAAAAGAAAATGACCCTGAACAAAATTAACCAAATGCCTTTTGAGCAAGCACATTTGAGAATGTGCAAATGGGCACTGGGTTTGAGTAAACACGCCAGCAACAATGCTAGTCGCGCAGAGCTCGGTCGTTATCCTTTATATTCTAACATTGTTAAACAGGTGCAACGATACTGCCAAAGATTTGGAAATCTACCAAATAACAGAATAGTGAAACTCACCCATGATGCAGAACTGACAATAGGGGGAAAAGGTTGGCCAAGGGCGATTAATACCATGTTAACAACTTGGGATCTTCACAGTGGAAATGTCCCAGGGGTTCAACAAATCCAAACACATTGCAATATTGAGGAAAAAATCAATGCTATAATTGAAAAAATGTTCTGGAAAGAGTTAACTGATCCACAAAGCACAAGTTAAAAACTTATAGTCTGATAAAAAAAAGTCCTACAAAATTGAAAGGTACCTGCTAACTAATGCCCCTCAGTCATTAAAAAGGGAAGTGGCTAAAATTAGAGTCAGTGATCATATTCTGGAAATGGAAAGAGGACGCTACACCAGACCTAAAACACCACGCGAGGAACGATTCTGTCCCCACTGCCCTGCAATCGAGGACGAAGTGCACTTCCTACTAGAATGTAGACACCACAGAGGGAGGGCATGTTTAAACAATTCCCTAAATGTGACATGCATCACCTAGCAAGAGAAGGTTAAAATCATATATACTAAGCCCAGAAAATGAGAAAGAATTGTACGCTGTTGGTAAATACATTCAGAGGGCAATTTTGAAAAGAAATGAGCATCTGCCACACTGAAGTAGCCCCATCCTGCCATATTATATGAACCATAAGTATGGCACATTAGATACATATAGCTATAAGCCTATCAAAGAAAATGTGTCATCCCTCAGTGTATTGAACTATTTACAATTGTAATAAGTGTTTTAAACAGCGTATACACTGTAATTGATATTCTTCAACACTGTATAAGTAGTAGTCCATAGTGATGTATAACTATTTATTTATTTAAATATTTGTAGTATAGAGGGCTAACAAATGTAACAGTCACATTTAATGCTCGAATAAATTATTATTTTATTTATTATTATTCATTATTATATAAATCGTTTTTATTTTCTCAAAATATAAGAGTGCAAAAAACCTCACATTTTAAATAGAATGATGTGTGCAAACAATGGACAACCAGATCAATACCGTCAACTCTAAAACAGAATAACAAAACTGTTTAGATGAAATAACACAATAGCTTTGACAGGTGAACCCCATGACCCTGGTAGCTGTGCGCCAGAGCGCGAACGACCAAAAGTTATAATTAATCAAGGGAATGTAATTATAAACATTAAATCACCCCCTCTGATCAGCCATTTGAATTCATGGATATATATATAACTGCGACAACGTGACATATGGAGAAAGACATTAGCAAATCTGCCAAATGGGTAAAACGGGTAATTAATGAAACTATGTACGAATTCGTAACAACGCTCTATGGTAGAGATAATACAGACTTGACATTTAATATGGAATATATATTTTTTTAGTTTTTTTCCTATTTTGCTGACTGATAAATGAAAATATGGATTATAATCGTGTTTTAAATTTTAATTGAAATCCTACCACCAGATTACAGGACCCACGGACTTTCGGGATATGCTGTTGGAACTAAACAAAAAACCCACCCAGTCAGTTCAGAATGAGGGGTAAATTAACACCAAAACGCATTTTTCAAGGCCCTTAGTGAACACCAAACGGGTTTTAGCAGGTTAGAGTACCAGACGACCTCCAAGGAACCCACTGTAAACAGCAAAACATCGCTGTATGTTTCTCTAATGAATTGGGGTCCTTGACCGATTCTGGGTTAAACACTGAAACCTCGTGGCTTTCTTCATTGAGGTCAAATTTCACCTGTACCGCTCTACTAGTCAAAACAGACTTTACAGACACCCAGAAGAGGCCAACGACAAAGCGTGTGCCGCGTCTAAAGAGACTAATGTCATTTTAATGTTAAAACAGCGTCAGTATATGGGCTGGACACCAGTTTGGTGGCAAAAAAACTAATGGTAGTGCATGGGTGCCAAAACATCAATGGTAGTCATCGACGTAAACCTGCACCATATCAAACAAAGGGATAATCTGGGAACCACTTGACTATCATTTGATAAGGGGCAACTTAGGAACAATTTCAGGTTGCACAGTGAGATTGCCGGTGTAACAGTAATCCAAGTCCACCAGGAACCGTTGTCCGTAAGACTAACATTACTTGGGAATAGTAGTCCTACAGGGACCTAGGTTCCTGGCTCATAAATAGAGTAGGTAGGACTCGTATTAATGTAGGACTTTTATTCCTGTTACACCTATGACAGTAATAAACGTCTGGCCATTTGAAAGTCCCATCCTTATGCTATAATACGATTAAATGATAAAACAATAAATGTACATGGAAATTATGCTGGTGAACCATATATAATACAGAAATGGGATGGTTAGCAAATTCAGCTCGTCAGTGTAGTGGTCAGCATACTACTATATGGAGGCAACTACATGTACCACAACAAAAGGGTTCAAATCCAGCCGATGGCCGTACGCCCCCCCCCCTCCCATACCTATCGTCTGATATTTACAACTTTGTTTATTTTATTATTATTATTTTGTTTGTTTTTTTTTTATTTTTGCTTTATATACCTTCGGTCAAGGTCGTGGTCATTTATTTGGATTTTGACACGTCAGTTTACTGACAGTGTGACACGTCAGTTTGGTCACGCGCGTCTTTTGGAGAGACGTGGCATTTCACAGACCCACCCATTCAAGCCATGGAAGTAGCTGCGAAGAGACGCAAGAAGCCAGATATTCAAACAATTTTGACATATCTCAGGGAAAATAAATATCCTCCACAAGCTTCTCTCAAAGAAAAAAAAGGTAATTAGAAGAGCCAGTAAAGACAACTACAAGGTAAATAATTTTCTTAAAATTCATATTTACCTTAAAGCTTTATAAGTATGTTGTATACCTCAAAGATACTTTTATTACTTGGACAGCATGCTCGCGGACTTTTATTACCAGGACAGCATGTCCGTGGGACTTTTATTAGTAGTAAAACACGTCCATGGGACTTTCATTACTACTAAAGCACGTCCGCGGGACTTTCATTACTAGTAAAGCATGTCCGCGGACTACTTTTACCAGTATAGCATATCCACAAAACCATTGTCACTTCTAATGCACGTCGGCGGCCTACAGACATTAGGAAGCATGTTATAGTAAATATAATTAGTGTATATATACTTTCAATACGCATATTATTTGCTTTAGCACAATCTTTATTGCTGTTTTCAATGCTTGATATGCGTTCGGAAATCCGTAATCTTTACTTATTAATTAATTTTTTAGCTCGAAAGAGGATAACTTTTCTATAAAGTCCATAAAAAACCAAAGCAAAATGTTGAAACCAATGATGAATCAGGGGGTGAAGGCACATCTTCAATGGTTACTGAAACATCTTGGAGAAAGGTTATAACAAACCAGGAAGAAATAAAGGAAATTATGGCTAACATTTACTCCACGGCCATAGGTATGCTTATTTGTGCGGGTGTATCTTCATGTGAGCGTCAGTGTGTGCGCACGTGTTGTATTAATAAACGTTATTTACATACCATAATATATTTATTCCATAATTGTAACACTATGATGTCTGTTAATAAGAACTGTAATAATACGTAATGTACTGTTATAGGCGGACATCTCAGGCGGGATCAAACTCTCGATAAGCTTCAGAGAAGGTACTATTGGCGTAATATGGTCGAGGATGTTAGAACATTCATAGCCTGCTGCGCAATTTGCCAGATGGCAACACACAAAAATAAACAATCTGATCCACCTCTTCAACCAATACCAGTCACAACGCCAGAAGCCTGGAATATGGTAAGAAATATTTGTTCCTTACATTGTTATTACCCATGTTATTACCCATGCAGATAGCACTCACATATTACATGCTCTAGGCTTGTTTGTCACTAAAGCACACCAGCAAATGCTATTTTATTATATTAATGATATTTTTATTAATAAAATTATTTTTTTAATTTTAATCAATATTCACTAAAACGATACTTATATGTATCATTAATAAAGTTTGCACACTGTCCAGTATGTGTTATATCATTATTTTTATTCTATTCAGATTGGAATAGATTTGATTGGCCCGCTGAAGGAGACCACTAATAACAATTTGTACATCTGCACTGTGGCTTGTTACTATTCAAAGATGGCACATGTCCGTTCATTGCAATCTAAAGAGGCAACTGGTGTTGCAAATTTTTTGCTTGATTTGTTTTTGGTGTAGGTTTAAATGTGGAACACAAAACATGATTTTAAACAATGAATACTATACTAGAAAAATAACTTAACTTTGTATTTTTTACTTACTGCCTATTAATACTACTACAAATCCCATGATTATGGGTTTTTAGTTTTGAATGACAAAATAATTAAGAACGCCTGTCATATACTTATTTCTGCAAGTTTATACTTTATACATTATATAAATGTTTATGAAGCATAAATAAATCGTGACGTTTTTCTTTTTCAGTCTTGGGTTTCCAAAGACCATACTCTCCGACCAAGGTCGGGAGTTCAACAATAAGATAATCCAACAGATAACAGATCGGCTACATATTACCCACAAGCGGACCAGTGCGTACCATCAGCAATGCAACGGCTTAACAGGATGGCAATGCACCTTACCTGACTATTGATTGTAAAACTATATTTTGTATACCTTTATTTGAAGACCTGTAAGAAGTCATTATCTAAATCAATATATAATGCAAAAAAAATTGTGGTCTTATTAAAACGCATATAGCTTTTTTAAAAACTTTTAGAGCGTTTCAACCAAACACTTGAGTCAATGTTGATCAAAGTAACAGGGAGAAATGATTGGGATCAACACTTACAACAAGTAACATTTGGTTATAACACTTAGAAACACCACACCACTGGATACTCGCCCTTCTACCTGATGTTTGGAAGGTAAGATACCATGTATGCACTTAAACTAGACTCTTAACGGCTGAGTCAAAATCCCAAATATATATCAGCAATCTAAAGGTAAAAAGCGTTTTTGAAATACTATCTTCATCTGTCTTAAATCCTCATTCCAAACTATCAAATAAAAAAAAAATTACATTGAGTTTGATTTTTTATAATTTAAGCTAATGCAACACCGTTACATTATCTTATAATATAGATACAGTGTAGGTCTTAAAATCGATATATCATTCATTTGATCATCTGAGAAGGTAAAAAAAAAACTAAAGATTCTTCAGCAAATGAAAATAATCTTTAAGATTAACAATCATAACGGCACATTTGAATTCATCACTGGGTTCCTAAACATGACATGTTGCTCCCATGTCCTGTATGTACATAATTGTGTTCTACTTTTATAATGTTATCATGAATGTTTTGGTGATATTTTGTTCTCATTGGTTTACAGAGATCCTATTCTCCCCTCTGATATCAACAGACAAGATGACGAACAACACGTTGAGCCAACTGAGGAAGACTATGAGGATATCACTGAAAGAGTTACAAGAGTGAGATCGTCTGTTGGGAATGAGGATATAAAAAACATACAAAAAGCGCAGGACAGACAAAAGAAAAATTATGATGCACGTCTTAAAACGCAAAAGGTAAGGCCCCAATAAAAGCATTAAAGACCATATATATATATATATTCCTTTCTGCCTTTGTACTTAATAATTTGTTTTCAAACCATGTAAGAATTAATACAATGCGATTAATTTACTAAGAGTTTGATTTACACTTTTAATAAAATAGTTTTTTTATTATATTCTAAGGAAATACCTGTAGGGACCTAAGTCCTCAAGAGAAACCAAAGACGACAAGATCGAAAAGGAGGCAAAGATGAAATGCCATGGGTGGGGCCTTATATAGTAAAAAAAATATCAGATAAAACAGGGGCTTACATTTTATGCACTGAGGAGGGCACTACACTCAAAGGATGTGTGAACGCGTCCAACTTAAAGATTTACGTTGAGTAAAACAGCTACATGATATATAATTGAAAAAATATGAAAGCTGTGTTATTTTTGTAACTTTAATATATAAAATGAGTGTAAAATGGAATTGGAATATAAAAACGTCGCAAAATATAAAAATAAAATGCCATAATTAAATAAACCAAAGTCAAATTACAATCTCTAAAACTAAACCAAATATATAAACGAATGTACGTAATAAAATAAATGAATAAAAACTATGGAAGCCGTGTCTTTTTGTTTTGGTTTATTATTATTATTATTATTATTATTATTATTATTATGCATATTAACTGCCAAGCGGAAAATGAGAACATCGTAAAATATTGTTATAAAATAAAATATTAATTAAATAAAATAAAGGTTTATTATATCTTTAAACTTAGTGTATTTCTATATCTATTTAATGTTTTTCACGGTGTAAAACATATAGGACATGCGTTACTAAAATGTAAGGAACGCATGTCCCATTAGGACGTGCTTTACTACACGTAGGACTTGCATTACATGGTAGCCTTTGTCCCACGGGCCTTGAATCCTAGTAACGTATGTCCTAGGACTTTGATTCCTAGCAATGCATACCCTAGGACTTGCATTCCCAGGACTTTCTAGGACGTTCACTCCTGCCACACCTGTGTGAACGGAATGTAGTCCTAGGGCCCGTATTCCAAGATGTTCCTTAAAATAGGTCTAAGGTCAACTTTTATTAAGGCTTCCTTTGATGAGGTGTTCCTTGGTAAAGCAAGGCCTAACGAAATGGTATTCTAAGACCACACTTTAGCCTCTCCTTTGATAAGGAATTACTTTGACAAAAGTCAGCCTTTAGGTAAGGGACACTGACATAAAGGAGCTCCTCATTGGTTAGAGTAGGCCTTTGTGACACCCTCCTCGTTAAAAACGCATCTGTAATGTTGTATTATTGGGGTCAACTGAGGTCAACTGATCAAGTACAGTCATGCAACAGCACATATGGATATTATCACTGCATGTGGGTGTTTTGATTCAAGCCAAATTTAGTGAATAAAGCAAGTATGGCGAGAAGAGAAAAGGTTTGGAGGATAAGAAAAGTCGTAGACCCTTTTCTAATATAAAAAAGCAGCTACTGATGCAACTAGTCATCAGAGAAAATCCTATCCTCGATCAAATGTATTACTTCCGCCAAGGAGGTTGTTTTCATCCCTGTTTGCTTGTCTGTGTGACAGACAGTTTGTTTGTTTGTTTGTTTGTCATCAACATAACTAAAAAAGTTACTGGCTGATTTTGATGAAATGTTCAGGGTACATGTAGGTCAGAAATGGATTATATTAGTAGTGATTAGTGATTTGGTGATCAAGATCAATAATCAATATATTATCATTAATAAAAAAAAAAACTCAAAAAGTTATGGACCGATTTTTATGAAATTTACAGGGTACATCAGAAATGGGTTAACTTAGAAATGGCTAAATTTTGTTGGTGATCAAGATCAATAATCAATCAATGATCAATAATAAAAAAAAAAAATAACTCAAAATTTTACCTGCCGATTGTGATGAAATTTTCAGGAACTGTCACAAGTGGGCCAAGGAACAGATGGTTGGTTTTTGGTGGTTATCCGTATCAATAATTAATCAAAAATCAAAAATATCTCAAAATGTTTTGTGCCGATTGTGATAAAATTTTCAGGAACTGTCACAAGTGGGCCAATTAAGGAACAGATGATTGTTTTTTGGTGGTGATCCGGATCAATAATCAATCAATAATCAAAAAAAAAAAAAAAAAAACTAAACCATTATATAATGAAAATTGGGTGGAGACTTTGCTCTCGGAGTGCTTTTCTAGTTGAATTTAATGATTTTGAATTTAGGTAAGCATGTTGGTTTAAATAGTCCTCCATGGACCTTATACGAAATTTGTATTCCAAGACCTTTCTTTATCTCACTTGAAAGGAATCACTTAACAATCATCCTTAGCAAAGGAATGGGTCCTTCCTAGAATCTGCCTTTGCATAAAGATTTCCTTTATTTTCGACCGAGGAGTCCTTAAAAAGTAAGGTTGGTCTGGAGTAACTTTTAGTCTTCCTTAAGCAGCCAACGTGTACAGTTCTCTAGTGAAAATTAGCCCCATGGGGCACTATGTTAACCAACTGGTGCGTCTTTATGATGTCAACAGGAATGCAAGACGCATGAGAACACGCCTACCTAAATTCAATGAAGACGACTTCACCGATGACGATTTCTTTGCAAGGTTACGTTTCTCGAAAGATGGCTTCAACCATCAGCATCGAAAATTGTTAAACGTGTCTCAGCAGTGACTGCAAGAAAACGGGCAGATGTAATTCGTTTTCCGACTGGAGGGGACGCTGCAAACATTAAAAGGAAGTTCTATGAAATGTATGGCTTTCCACATGTGCTTGGTTGCGATGATGGAGTTCATGTGCCTATTCAGGCTCCAGGCTTAGTCGAACGTGAAATATTCATGTCACTGAATGTTCAAGGCATAGCAGATGCAGACTTGAAGTTCATAAACATTGTCAATATAAGGCCAGACTCAACTCATGATGCCCGCATTTTTGACAATAGCCGTATTTGCTTCCAGTTCGAACAACAGTAATTCAATGGCCTTCTTCTAGGAGATAAAGGCTACGCTTGTCGCCCCTTCTTGATGACACCATTTCGGAACCCGGAAGGCCGTGCCCAAAACCAATATAATACCTCTCACAAGAAAACGAGATCTACTGTGGAACGAATGTTTGGGTTATGGAAACGAAGATTTCCTTGCGTTAAACAGGGATTAAGGGTGAAGCTTGATACAGCAATGTCAGTGATCACTGCTACAGCAGTATTGCACAACATAGCAATCGATCTGAAAGAGCAAGATTTCGGTGAAGAGGAGGAGGAACAAGAAAACCTGATCAATCTTAATGATGATGATGATGTCATGGGTACTGCCGTCAGACAAACAATTGTTGAACAGTATTTTCAATAGCACAATTTATTTCTCTTGTAATTACAACTTTCATGAAGTGTACACATAGGAACTAAATTTCATGTGATAGCATGACTCTACTCATGTATGTACTTATGTACTTAAAATAATACTTAAAATAAACCTCCTAGATTGTGCTTTAAAACTAAGGAAGCATTCCCATAAACCAGATCGATCCAACATGCTCGCTCTATGTCCGAGGGGTTTCTGTTAAAGTAATCTACTTCAGCGTGCACAAAAGTTAATAAGCCCATTGAGAGCTTCCGCACACGTGCCTCATAGTAAAGCCGCTTAAGTAGTGAAATTTACCAATAACCCCTCTGAGATAGATCGATCCTGCTGGAATGCAATTAAACTAAGTTAATCTATTCCACATTTGTATAAACTGAATAAAGACGATAGTCATCAGTGTTATTGCTTCTTGCTCCTTCACTGTTTGGATTTGCAGTACCATTTAATTTTGTTAAAAAGGAATGTTGCAAATTCAGCACTTCCATTCTGAGTTCATGTTCCTCTTTTTGAAATTTAATTCTATCCTGCAGATATTTCATTTGGAAGTTGTGCTCTTTCCTCTGCATAGCTAGTGCTGAATCCATTGCAACACTACGACTGACGCAAGATGGAGATTTACGTCCAGATTTCTCTTTGGCCTTAGATGTGGATGGCTCTGTGTCCCTGACTGATGTGGGGTCAATGCTGCTACATTCTTCCATTACTGAGGCTTCATCCAAATGAGAGGAATCCTTATCATCATCAGATTCTGGATGGCCGACAGACGCACTGGCAGTCAATTTCGGTTTCTTTGCTGGAAAAAAGAGACACCTTACCAGTATTTATATTATAATGTTGAATAATGATATTTATGAACGACTGCCTAAATGGTTTGAACAGTTACCAGCAAACAGTTCTCTGACCCTGAAGTTATGATAAAGAAAGAAGTACCTTGGGGTTCATGGTGTCCCGTATCGTCGTCAAAGGCGTTGTTGAGAGGGTGCAGAACCACACTTCAGAAAGAAGTAACCATGTGGGAGAGATCTTCAGCAACCGTTTCAACTTTTCCACCTCCAGTTAATTGGCGACATTTCTTCTCCTTGGCAACATCTTTTTTCGCTTTTGTCTTTAGGTTGTCAACTACTTTCTTCAGCTGAGATGAACTGACAGGATTTACTCCAGGCTGGTCATTGAATTTACTTGTAATCCTGTCCCATGCCTCTGCTTTAGAAGTGATTTTGTTTGTATTCCCACGTTGATCAAGAATAGGCTTTTCTCTGTTGACTAGTTGCATCAGTAGCTGCTTTTCAATATCAGAAAAGGGTTTACAACTTTTGGTTTTCTCATCGTCCAAACCATTCTTTTCTGTTCTAGGCATACTTGCTTTAATCACTAAATTTGGCTAATATCAAAACATCCACATGCAGTGATAATATCCTTTGCAGTGTTGAAGTTGACCAGTTGACCCCAATCATACAACATTACTGAGGCTTTTATAACGAGGAGGGTGTCACAAAGGCCTACTTTAACCAATAAGGAGCTCCTTTATGTCAGTGTTCCTTACCTAAAGGCTGACTTTTGTCAAAGTAATTCCTTATCAAAGGAGAGGCTAAAGTGTGGTCTTAGAATAGCATTTCGTTAAGCTTTCCTTTACCAAGGAACACTTCATCAAAGGAAGCCTTTATAAAAGTTGACCTTAGACCTGTTTTAAGGAACATCTTGGAATACGGGCCTGGGAACGTAAGTCCTACCTGCACGAAAACGAAGTAGATACTACAGCGCAGTAAACAACTGCAATCATACTGCAAACATGCTTCAAATCTGCTTCGATGTGGGAGCTAATTAGCATATTTGAAACATGCTTCTATCATGCTGCTAATCTATTGCATTAATGCTCCTCCTCTGTACAACCTATGTAATTTTGAAGTAGAATTGCAGTAGGCTATACTGCATTTCTACTGCAAATATGCTCCACACCAATGCTGCGTTAATGCTTCTTTGCTACTTTGATACTACTGCGTTTTCTTGCTGGTAGGTCTAGCGTTGCTAGGAATGGAAGTTATAGGACATACGTTACTAGGATTTAACGTCCGTAGGACATCAGATGCCAAGGAATGCATGCCCCACCGCCAGAAATCTAAGTCCGGATGGGACCTGTTATCCTGATTTACACTAGGAATATATGTCCGCTCCCATTTTTCTCTCGCACTTAAAGTTAGTGATAGATAGATAGATAGATAGATAGATAGATAAATAGATAACTAAAATAATATTACCATTACCTTTAAAATATTTCACCCAAACAAATAAAATGGAATAAAAAAGGGATATATGAAGAATAACACTTGTTACATTTTTATATATATATTTATTTCAGTTCTTTTATTTATTCATCTGCAACATAAACTTTAAAATTCGCCCTGTTTACGGCGCCTTTCAGTGTGCACCCGCCATCAATCCGGAGGATGTAAGCTCCAGATTTGGATATCCCCTTCACAACGTAGGGCCCCAGCCAGGGTTTTTCTTGTCACAGTTCACCTGCATTCGTCTTAAATATAAATGGTAATTGACTACAAAATATACAAATGTACAAGGCGCACCACCAGTAAATGGTACAATCCAGGCAAATAGTGTACATGGTCACACTATATTAAACCAATGCTCTATACGCAAAATATGCATCAATTTGATTCATGGGATAATTCACCGAAAGCTTATACCTCATCAGTTGAATGGCGAGCGTCAAATCTTTTTTCTTTTTATATTTCTTAACACTACCACTCCCACTTTATTTTCATTGTTTCAACCCTTGTTCCAACTTTCTTTTCGTACTGAGATGCACTAGGCAGTTGTAGGCCACTTGGGCCTGCTGTATTCTCTTCAGACTGGTTTTATCCTTCGTCCCTGTTGCACACATCAAGAGGGAGCACAGGTTCTCTAAAGAAAATATTAAATAAAATTTACAAACAGTTAATAATGCTTTTTATTTTGTATGTTGTATCCATCAAAAATAGCATAATTAGAATAAAAAAGACGACATTTTCAGTATTAGTTACATCATTTCTGGTGTGGGTAAAACTCAATTTTATTTATTTAATGAAACATGAAATAATTGAACATTTATGGATAAAAATATACATATTTACATTTCTACCTCCCAAACATGAGACACAAGGGTGAAAACCCAATGGATGAATAGTATGTGTACTCATGATGTTAAAGGAATTATTGACCTACCGTGTATACTACTGTTATTTTGTTCGAGTTTAAAACTGAGAAAGGAATCGTAAGCACCTGTCCCCGGACCTAAAATCCCAGAAACGGTAGTCCCCGGACCTAAATTCCCAGAAATGGTAGTCCCCCGGGCATAATTACCCATACAATAGCATTCCCCTGCAAGACATTTATTCAAGGTACATAGGTCCATTGGACACACATCCCTGCAATTGTATATTTGCATATAACGTAGTGTGACCTCTAATAATATTGCATATTTGACATCATGAAAATGGAAAGTTTACTTTATAATTAGACGTGCTTGTTCTCCGAATAACTCTTTTCTGTGTTGGTGTTGTCTCGATAGGATACGTGCCCTCCTGAAGATATTGGAAAATAACTTTGGGCCTGGTCCGGGTGCTGCTTGTCCCTTCCATATCAAACGTCTAGTGAGGGTGTGGTATTCATATATGAGCGGCATTTATAGTAGAACAAGGTAAGATAAGAGTTTATTTAGCCAATTATAAAAATCGGAAATCATTTTCCATTGGAGCAATATACAGAGTAAAATAATAAAATAATAAGGTAGCGTGTGACATCTGGTTATGTCTGTAACCAATCAAAATTTTGCTACGTGGTAAAAATGACGACCAGGATAAAACAAAAGAAAAGAAAATCACACGAAAAGTAAGCATAATTTTATTTCTGTAAACGAAATTCGAACCTCTTCCCATTTACACAATTACTCTGTATAGCATCCATTATATACTGCACAGCCTTGCCACTACACCAGGGAGACGAACTGGCAAGCCTTGCCACTACACCAGGGAGACGAACTGGCAAGCCGCCGATTTTACGGAGTACTTATATGTGCTCACTAAAGCATAATATTACTGATAATAGTCATTATCCACTAGTTGCTATTATAAATGGTCGGACATAGTTATAGGGCGGACCTCCATTCCGTAAACGTAATGCAGGTCCGCCAGGAATAGAAGTCCTACCCTTTAGCATATCAGGAATAAAGGTCCCATTAGGACTACTATTCCTTAGAAACGGTGGTCCGTAGGACCTCGGTTCTAGGCGGACCTGCATTCCGTACACACCGGTTAACACAGAGCACTTTTAACAGCAGATTACTTACAGAACCAAGGGAGTGAGCAGCTACCTTGGCCTTAAAAAATTCCACATTTGAACCACATCAACAAAATGTGGGTAGGCCATTACTCGCCGAATCTATGCCCTACATGTCATACAACAAAACTGAACAAAATTGGACAGATTTTGATTGATGCCTGAATGTTATTCCAGGTTGAACTCTAAAAACCTATCCCATGGAATGCCTTGCCACTTGNTTTATTTATTTATTTATTTATTTATTTTGTGTGTGTGTGTGTGTGTGTGTGTGTGTGTGAAAATTTCGTTTTTCACATGTAAACATTTTGAGCGAGTGACCGACACCCTATGCAAGTTATGATTTCTGAATGTCAATATTACCTTGAGTATTCTGTAATAAGTTTTTAATCAGACATCTGTATTTAGGTCAAAATGGATATCTTGGCTGGTGCAGGTGATGGACAAGAATTAGCCCAGTTTAAGAGCCTGTTTCCGCCAGAAGAACACCCTTCTTTTTATGAAGAGCCCAAATCTAAAGAAGCACTTAAGGTAAATGCATATATATATATATGTATATATGAAAAACTTTATTGCTTTTGTGTGCAGTATATTTAAGTAGAAAAAATAAAAAATATTGAAATTTTATTCATAGATATTTCAACCCTAGTGTCTTTATG